AGACAGCTACTTTTTCCCTCAATGTGTTGAAATGGCTTAACACTTTCTTCAGTTACATTACATTACATACATTACAATGTGTAATGCATATATAAATATTACAATTAATCACGTACTCATACAGTACATTTATAGTCCTGTGATGTAGAATGCAGAGCTACAAAAGTAACACAAAAAACAATTAAGCTTAAAAATAATACATGTTTTTTTTTGTAACAGGCTGCGTTTTGTGTGCTCCCCTCTCGTGATCTCCTTGTGGTGACGTCTCAAAAGGGCATCCAGGTAGATGTTGTTATTTTCTCAGTTTTGATGTCAATAGCAGGACATGTATGAGGATAGTAACACAGTGGTGAGGTGTACAGCAGGACTGACAGATGGGTTCAAGGTGTGGTTCTTGTTTGCAATGGTGATGGACAGGTTGACAGAGGAGATGAGGGTGCACGAGTGGGTGAAGACATGTGTTAGAGGTGATTTGTAACAGAATAGCTAGAGTTAAAGGGAAACTTTACAAGATGGTACTGAGACCTGCTAAGATGCATGATTTGAAGACAGAGGCACTGACAAAAAGACAGGAGGCAGAGCTGGCAGCTATATAATTGAAGGCGATTACATTTTTGCTGGGCATGATCAGACGGAACAGTATTAGAAATGAGTACATCAGAGGGACAGCTCAGGTCAAGCAGTTCGGAGATGAAGTTAGAGAGACAAGGCTGATATGGTTTGGGCATGTGCAGAGAGGTATAGTGGATATACGGGACAAAGGATGTTAAACATGGAGCTGCCGGTGAAGAAGGACATGCATGTCCCTACTGATAACCCTCTGCATGTAGGGAGAAAGTAAGATGGAGGCAGATGATCTGCTGTGGTGATCACCAACAGAAAAGGAGGCAGTGTTATGTCTTTTAATTTTATACTTATAGTGGCTATAATCACACATTATGAAACAGTAGTATTACATTAAGTTAAATGTAATCTGTCATAGAGTACCGCAAGCAATAAATATTGTTTTGTAGCTTTTTACTTATCTTATAAGTCTTATTTACTTATAAGTGTGTTCCTTTAGATGTATGAATCTGATGGCTCCATCATGGTGTACTGGCATGCACTGGATACTCCAGAAACACCTACAGGTAAGTATGCAACATTTAGTTGTAACTATCCTACTACACATGTAGGGACTCACTAATAGAAGAACTTTTTTTACTCATTAGTGTGAAACCATAGTGTGCAGTGTGTTGCGATATAATGAGTTACAGTGAATCACTTAACTGTTCCTGAAGAGGATTTAGATCAATTGATCCATCCCCATAACATCAACACCCGTGGGATGTCTTCATTATTTAGTGTTTTTTTTTTTTAAAGATTTACACCAGTATTATGACATCACTATGGCAATAAAGACGTTTTCAGATTTTCTTATGCTTGCTGATAAATACTGTTATCTGTGACTGATGTATTCAGCTTCATAAATTTCATACTCATCACATATTTGCATGTGAGACAGAAAATTATTAACCCTGAGTTCTTTATTAGATTTGGTGCATTCACAGACCTAATTTCTGTCCCAGCACAGGCAGTGTTTGCCCGAGGGATAGCAGCAGTGTACGAGAATTATATATGTGTGGGTAAGTGCTGAGTGGAATTTTTGTCTTTTCAGTTTTTGTGTAGTCAAAAGAGCACATGTCTACAGTCTACTTGTCTCTTTCTCATTCTATAGGAGTTTCATCTGGTGCAATTTTAGTATTTGATGTGCCCAGTAAAGGAAGTAATATTACCTTGTCTGAAGTCCTGGAGGAGCACAAAGAATCCATCACTGACATGGCCTCAGAGTGCTCTGGCAGCCAGGTAAGGCACATATGTGTGTTTTGCAATCTGTCACAGTCTTTGTTTGTACATGACAGTGTACACCTCTTGCATGAGTCATAGATTAAATGAATAAATACCTTATGTAATAATTATAACAACTATGATCGTTCTATGAATTACAATATCCTTTTCTCTGTTCCTTTAGGAGTGCATAGCTAATCTTGTCACTGCAGATGATGGGGGAAATCTATGTGTGTGGAAGTCTGGGGAGGAGTTTCAGCTGCTCAACAAAATCCCTGGTTTTGAGTAAGTTCACTGAAGCTTTTTTCTACAGTGTTGTCTTGAGCCACACCTTTCGTCATATTGCTTTTAAGGACCCATTGGTCTTGAACAGTAGTTCTCTGGGTTTTCTGAAGTTATTTAAAAAGTTTTTGTTTGGACACTAGCTGCTTTTTCAGTCATTTTCAGTTCAGTCCTTGTACCCGACCATTTTCAGAAGGATGTTTTTTGTTTGCTAAGCCACTGAACACTGACCCATTAATTATTCAAGCATGACATTCTACCTAACCATTGTTGTGTTTAATAATAGACAACTGAGCTTAGAAGAACTTTTTAAATGGTATCTTTAGCCTCTGTTACTAGGAGCCTGTTGCAAAAAATATGTAGTGTGTTCTCATTTCTTTAGTTGATTTAATGAAAAATGCTTAAGATAACACAGTTTGACAGAAATAAAATATTATTTTTCAACAAGATGCTTCTCAAAGAGCTGTTGCCAGAAAAACCTGGGATATCTTGGCATGGTGTGCAGTGGATCCTTAAAAACTTTGAGGATACAGAACAAGTGGAAGAGAAAATAAGAAGTGGCACAAAAATCAATTTTACAACAGATTAATGCTATATTAAAGTCATAACATTAAGAAATAGGGGGGGAAACTCCAGCAAAGACTTGATTCAGGACTTGAAAAATGCTGTCTGTTCTGACCGAAGGTATTTTTTACACTGACTTATTTATGTGTTTTATTTCCTGACATTCTCTAATCTAATATAAAATATAGTTTCTGTTGGTTCCCTGATGGCATTGGTCCTCAATGTTTTCAGTATGAGCTGCTCATCTGTCAAGTTGTGGAAGGGCACAGCGGTGGCAGGTTACGGCACAGGCCAGATTCGACTCTACGAGGCAGTTACGGGAATTTTGCATGCTGAGATCAATGCTCATGCTCGCTGGATATACTCAGTAGACATTGCTCCTTTTTCTGGATTGGTGAGTTGTATCAAAAAGATGTATAATAATGCCTTTTTTATTTAGCTTTTTCACAGCTGAAAGTAACAGATTCATCTTTGTCAGTTTGACAATAATTAGTGAAAATTTGAAGTATATTTACATTTAAACATATTTTTAGTAGTAATATTAATAGTTTACCTCAAATCACCTGAAAGATGACCATCTCCTTCTCTACGCTAGCTTTTATCTGCTGCTGAGGACTCTCTTGTCAGAGTATGGCACATGACTATCACCCCAGAGACCAACAGTGTGGAGGTAAGTGGTCCCAAGACAGACTACAAAGCATATTTCCTGAATACATTTAAAAAAGAGGGACAGTTCATTGCAGTCTCCCCCAGTCATCCTACACACCTGGATGACTGGCACAAGATGACTTATGTCTTACTCTCAAACAGAACCTGACTGTGTGTTTTTCTCATTTCCTCTTAGGTTGCGCATTTGCATAACGAGTGTGTGACAGATACACAAATCTGTGGCGCCAGGTTCTGTGATGGCGATGGCTATGCCTTTGCAGTGACAGGCTATGATCTGAGTGAGATTATCCGCTACATCCAGTCATAGGACTCTAACGTCATTATGGCTAAGTGTATTCATTGGTTTGTTTGGTATATGGAACAGTTTTTTGGAGGTATTTTGGTATTTGTTTGTACATCTGTAGGCCTGTATCCACAAAAAGCTGGTAAACTGTGTAAAATGTATTTTTTAAAATCATTTCAGTAAGTAGTAGTTATTTGAAAAATAGCACAAAGACACAATGTCAACTGTTGAAACTTTAAAAAATTATATATATTTTTTAGAAGCATATATGCTGATTTTAAATCTGGTGTAAGCAGAACATTTCAGAAATGTTGTAACAGGGCAAATAAACGATTGCAAAAGCTGTGTAAAGACGAAAGTCATATTTAAAATAAATTCCATACCTGGGACCTTCTCTGAGTTTCAACTAATTTAAGATTAACTGAGGTGAAACGTAAAGCTTATTTTGAGTCAAACCACTGCATCTGCCCAGCTAAGGAGGAAAAGAACCATCCTGTCTGTTATCAGCACAGAGTTCAAAAATCAGCATCTGTAATAGTGTCAGAGTGCTGTAGTGCACACAGCATTGCTCTTTACATTTTTTTCTTTGGGCTACTTTTTCACTTATTTTCAGTGCGATCCTTGTTGCTGACAATTTCCAGGGGAATGTTTTTTTTTGTTAAGCTGCTTAACACTGACCTGTAAATCATTCAAGCATGAAAAAGCCCTTAACTGGTGTTGTGTCAACAGAGAACTTAGCAAACAAGCTGTTTTAAATAGTATTTTTAGCCCTGTAGCATGGTGGAGTGGTGGTTAGCACTGTTGCCTCACAGCAAGGTTGAATTCCGCCATCTGCCTCGGGCCTTTTTGTATGGAGTTTGCTCTCTGTGTCAGTTTGGGTTCTCTGCAGGTGCTGTGGCTTCCTTCCACAATCCAAAGACATGCGTCCAAATATTGACTTTCAAGCTCTTTAGAACTATACAGACTTTGTGTTTGTCTTACATACTGTATTTGTACTTATATTTGTAATGTTTCAGTGCATCATTTAACCTATTTCCTATTTTCTCAGCATAATATAAATAAATAATGAATAGTTAATTACATACAATGCAGTAAAGTAAGTGCTGAATTGTTGAAGAGTTCCCCTGTTGTGCAAGAGAAGGAAAATAATTTGCTTGAATACTGTGGAAAGAAAAAGGGATTCGTAACAGTGGTAAACCAAACGCCTCTCCCAGTGTTTTATAATTAGCTTTGGGTTTTTGTTTTTCAATTCAGTGTTTCGTTTAAATCATTAGTAATACAATTCATATTTTAAGTATTTAACAAATCTTTAGAACTTTTAGAAAGGTTTGGTACAATGGTTTTAAAATAGTTGTACAGGAAACTATTGTGAATGTGTTTGAAGAAAAAATTTATGTGACTGTATCTTTAAAACATTATTCTTTTCAGGCATAATGTGTAAAATAACTACACCAGTAAACACTTTATAAGGAAAGCCGTGCTTGACTTTTTATTTTGTAATTCCAAAATGCAACAGGAGATGGGGTTGTGGGCTAATATTTTTAGCAAGAGGCTGCAGGACATGTAGTTAACTAGAGAGCAGTATGGAGTTGGGTTATTTTATTTTAGTTTCTTCAGGGTTATTGACAGTCAGACTCTTCCAAAAAGGCCAAATTATGGTTGGATACTGTGTGCAGACTGCTGGACACGGGCATTTTATATTGCTAAGTATACATGCACATATTACAGATGCACTGTAAAAAAATATTCCGTAGAAAAACAGAGAATGTCCTGGTAATTTTCTGCCAGTACATTTTCTGTTTTTTTACGGAGGTTTGACGGACCTTTCTGTAAATGATAAAACGGAAAATTCTGTAGATTTACAGTATACTCTCTGTACTATTTACGGACATTTCCTTCAGCTATAAAACAGAAA